CAGGGGGTGAGAGCTTTGGTCAGCTGGAGCGTTGCTCAAGCGAGTGTCAGAGGGTTGCTCAGACTGACCAAGGTGAACGGTCAACCCGGCTTGGTTGGAGCGGCATGGTTCGTTAAGATGTATTGCCTAGCCAGCATGGGGAGAAGTCTGTGTCCGGAGTAGCGAGTTTGAAGCCTTGATCAGCTAGAGCGTAGCTCAGGCAAGAGTCAAAGTTGCTCGAGCGCGCGTCCGGGCGTTGCTGCACGAGCCCAGTGTTAGACCAAGATGGGTCCCAGCATATTCCCATTATAAGCCCAAGACTAGAAGCTGAGACCCCAGGATAATAGGACATGATAGTACCCATCGAATAGTACATGCTAGTACCCATCGATATCCTCCCCACCGGCGGAGCGACGTGGGCCGCGCCGGTGGCCAGGTGAGCCGGTGATAGGCAAGTATAATTTCTGCACTACCCGACTTTAAACCCAATAGTTGTCCCACATAGTCCCATTATAATCCCTGTAATAGCGCCATAGTAAGCCCAAGCCTTCACCCACCTATAGCAATCCCATCGGCGGGCGACGTAGGTGAAGCCGGTGGCCAGGTTATCGTGTGACAGTGCATTGTTAGTAAGCCCTGCACGAGCCTACCCGGCAATTAAGTTCCAGATTTGTCCCCGCATAGTCCCAGCATAGTCCCGCGTGATAGTGAATTATAATCACAGCACTAACCGCCGACGTAAGCCCAACATTTGTCCCAGCATAGTCCCATCATAATCCTAGTCGAGTCGCCATGGTCAGCCGAAGAGTTGGTCCATCAGAATGCCACGATTTATGTCTGTACGTCGCCCATGTGACAAGCTCATGATGGTACCTCCCAACGGAAAAGGCATGCGTACAGCGACCGCAGCCTATGTGGAACCAGCCGGTAGGGAAGAAATGTCGTGAGTAGCACGTTCGAAGCGTTGGGCAGCTAGAGCGTTACTGAAGCGAGAGTCAGAGCGTTGTGCAGCTCGATCAGAGACGGCAAACGGTCAACCCGGCATGTTTTGAAAGGCAACGGCGTGCAGGGTCCAGGAGGTTTAGTCAGCGAGAGCGTTGCCCAAGCAGGCTAGCGGTCAACCCGGCATGTTTTGAAGCCGGAGCGTGGCTCAGGCGAGAGTTAAAGTGTTGCTCCGATTCACCAAACGAGGTCAACTGTCAACCCGGCTTGTTTGGAAGGGGCATGCATCAAGAAGCAACGTCGACGATCCGGTGTGGTCGGGTTTCACAGCGGCATGGCAAGTTCCAAGAACGGCATGTTGAAAGGCAGGGGGTGAGAGCTTTGGTCAGCTGGAGCGTTGCTCAAGCGAGTGTCAGAGCGTTGCTCAGACCGACCAAGGTGAACGGTCAACCCGGCTTGGTTGGAGCGGCATGTTTGGTTGATATGTATTGCCTAGCCAGCATGGGAAGAAGTCTGTGTCCGGAGCAGCGAGTTTGAAGCCTTGATCAGCTAGAGCGTAGCTCAGGCAAGAGTCAAAGTTGCTCGAGCGCGCGTCCGGGCGTTGCTGCACGAGCCCAGTGTTAGACCAAGATGGGTCCCAGCATATTCCCATTATAAGCCCAAGACTAGAAGCTTAGTATAATGTCAATCTGAAACCCAAGATTTAGCGCCGTAGAACCTTTTAGTCCCACCTGGACCCCAGGATAATAGTACATGATAGTACCCATCGAATAGGACATGCTAGTACCCATCGATATCCTCCCCACCGGCGTTGCGACGTGGGCCGAGCCGGTGGCTAGGTGAGCCGGTGATAGTCAATTATAATTAATTTCTGCACTACCCGAGTTTAAACCCAATAGTTGTCCCACATAGTCCCATTATAATCCCTGTAATAGCGCCATAGTAAGCCCAAGCATCCACCCACGTATGGCAATCCCATCGGCGGGCGACGTAGGTCGCGCCGGTGGCCAGGTTATCGTGGGACAGTGAATTGTTAGTAAGCCCCGCACCAGCCTACCCGGCAATTAAGTTCCATATTTGTCCCCGCATAGTCCCAGCATAGTCCTGCGTGATAGTGAATTATAATCTCAGCACTAACCGCCGACGTAAGCCCAACATTTGTCCCAGCATAGTCCCATCATAATCCTAGTCGAGTCGCCATGGTCAGCCGAAGAGTTGGTCCATCAGAATGCCACGATTTATGTCTGTACGTCGCCCATGTGACAAGCTCATGATGGTACCTCCCGACGGAAAAGGCATGCGTACAGCGACCGCAGCCTATGTGGAACCAGCCGGTAGGGAAGAAATGTCGTGAGTAGTACGTTCGAAGCGTTGGGCAGCTAGAGCGTTGCTCAAGCGAGAGTCAGAGCGTTGCGCAGCTTGATCAGACAAGGGAAACGGTCAACCCGGCATGTTTTGAAAGGCAACGGCATGTTTACAAGCAGGGTCCAGGAGGTTTAGTCAGCGAGAGCGTTGCCCAAGCAGGCTAGCGGTCAACCCGGCATGTTTTGAAGCCGGAGCGTGGCTCAGGCGAGAGTTAAAGTGTTGCTCCGATCCACAAACGAGGTCAACTGTCAACCTGACTTGTTTGGAAGGGGCATGCATCAAGAAGCAACGTAGACGATCCGGTGTGGTCGGGTTTTACAGCGGCATGGCAAGTTCCGAGAACGGCATGTTGAAAGACAGGGGGTGAGAGCTTTGGTCAGCTGGAGCGTTGCTCAAGCGAGTGTCAGAGCGTTGCTCAGACCGAGCAAGGTGAACGGTCAACCCGGCTTGGTTGGAGCGGCATGTTTGGTTGATATGTATTGCCTAGCCAGCATGGGAAGAAGTCTGTGTTTGGAGCAGCGAGTTTGAAGCCTTGATCAGCTAGAGCGTAGCTCAGGCAAGAGTCAAAGTTGCTCGAGCGCGCGTCCGGGCGTTGCTGCACGAGCCCAGTGTTAGACCAAGATGGGTCCCAGCATATTCCCATTATAAGCGCAAGACTAGAAGCTTAGTATAATGTCAATCTGAAACCCCAGATTTAGCGCAGTAGAACCTTTTAGTCCCACCTGGACCCCAGGATAATAGTACATGATAGTACCCATCGAATAGGACATGCTAGTACCCATCGATATCCTCCCCACCGGCGTTGCGACGTGGGCCGAGCCGGTGGCTAGGTGAGCCGGTGATAGTCAATTATAATTAATTTCTGCACTACCCGAGTTTAAACCCAATAGTTGTCCCACATAGTCCCATTATAATCTCTGTAATAGCGCCATAGGAAGCCCAAGCATCCACCCACGTATGGCAATCCCATCGGCGGGCGACGTAGGTCGCGCCGGTGGCCAGGTTATCGTGGGACAGTGAATTGTTATAAGCCCCGCACCAGCCTACCCGGCAATTAAGTTCCATATTTGTCCCCGCATAGTCCCAGCATAGTCCTGCGTGATAGTGAATTATAATCTCAGCACTAACCGCCGACGTAAGCCCAACATTTGTCCCAGCATAGTCCCATCATAATCCTAGTCGAGTTGCCATGGTCAGCCGAAGAGTTGGTCCATCAGAATGCCACGATTTATGTCTATACGTCGCCCATGTGACAAGCTCATGCTGGTACCTCCCGACGGAAAAGGCATGCGTACAGCGACCGCAGCCTATGTGGAACCAGCCGGTAGGGAAGAAATGTCGTAAGTAGTACGTTCGAAGCGTTGGGCAGCTAGAGCGTTGCTCAAGCGAGAGTCAGAGCGTTGCGCAGCTCGATCAGACAAGGGAAACGGTCAACCCGGCATGTTTTGAAAGGCAACGGCATGTTTACAAGCAGGGTCCAGGAGGTTTAGTCAGCGAGAGCGTTGCCCAAGCAGGCTAGCGGTCAACCCGGCATGTTTTGAAGCCGGAGCGTGGCTCAGGCGAGAGTTAAAGTGTTGCTCCGATCCACAAACGAGGTCAACTGTCAACCTGACTTGTTTGGAAGGGGCATGCATCAAGAAGCAACGTAGACGATCCGGTGTGGTCGGGTTTCACAGCGGCATGGCAAGTTCCGAGAACGGCATGTTGAAAGACAGGGGGTGAGAGCTTTGGTCAGCTGGAGCGTTGCTCAAGCGAGTGTCAGAGCGTTGCTCAGACTGGCCAAGGTGAACGGTCAACCCGGCTTGGTTGGAGCGGCATGTTTGGTTGATATGTATTGCCTAGCCAGCGTGGGAAGAAGCCTGTGTCCGGAGTAGCTAGTTTGAAGCCTTGATCAGCTCGAGCGTAGCTCAGGCGAGAATCAAAGTTGCTCGAGCGTGCGTCCGGGCCTTCCTCCGACCGACCAAGGCAAGAGCAGCACGACGGCAAATGGACAACACGGCTACAGCAGCGCAAAGCAGCGTGGCCGACCGAAAGCGCGTCGACGGCGAGCCATCAACCCGGCCTGTCTTGTGGGGCATGTTCGGGGGACTCGAGTGCGCGCGCTGGCTTGGTTTCCGTCGCACACTGATCGTAAAACCACCGTTTAGCAACAAAACTTCAGTGAAACAAAGCCAACAAATGTCACTGACGTAGCTGGACAGATGGTCTGTGACCTAGATGGACAGGAAGTTGACTCCGTGAATCAGTGAAACATAGCCAACAAATGTCACTGACGTAGCTGGACAGATGGTCTGTGACCTAGATGGACAGTAAGGTGACACCGTGAACCTTGCCAGAATCTAGCCTGGACGAAATGGAGCCGGGTCACGACCAGGGGGACAACCACACAACACGACGACCCGCCTGCAGATCAGCCCCGTGGGAAAAGCAAAGTAGTTGACGCAGGACAAGGTAGCTGACAACGCAACAGCAGAAAAAAGCGCAGCGACAAGAATCGTCAGTAGGTACATGTACGGCATCGAGTACACGAAAGTCACAACCAACCCAAAACGCGTCGATAGAGTTGACTAGCACAAAAAACCCCTTGTATGCAATCAAAACCACCTTTGGTATCAGAGGCTGCAAGCAACACTGCACCGTAGAAACATGAGAAGCAACATATCAGATAAGGGCGCGCCCCCAGCCGGACGCGGTGTCGGTTGCCCGTGCCTGCCATGTCGTGCCGAGAGCTTTTTGTCCAGACTCTCTGCCATGGACTCTTCTGGCTAGGCTTCTGCCATTGCATCCACGACGGCATGCTGCCGTTCTGTGAAACACTACTGTACGCAAGTCTGAGTTACATGCTGTGCACCGTGTGGCCGACGCTGGTGGACGCTGCAGTCTCACGAATTGCCAGGGTGCTTACCAAGAGAGCGCGTGGCAGCAAGCCCTGCCGGCGGATCAAAGGCAGGCGGTACAAACCATGCCGTGGCAGGCGGCGGCAACGTCGCAGGAAGAAGGCATGGACTCGGTTGTGGCATTGGAGCCGGAAGCTCCGCAATCGACTCGCCCATGCGCTGCATGGTAACGGACCTGGGCCAACCGATGCCAGTAGCAACAGTGGAACTGCCTCCGGCGGGAACACTGCAACGGAACAGCCGGGAGCAAGCTATACTGTTGAAGCACGTGCCCAAAGGTTGCGGAGAGTGCCGGTCGACATCCCCGGCGATGGGTGGTGTCTCCTTCATGCAGTGAGCTGGTACTTGGAACGGCACGAAAGCCACGAGCCAGAGTGGAGCGTGCGGAAAGCGGCGGACACATACGTGCAGGCATTGGAATTTCTAGTCCAGCAATTCGACGGCCCCAGTGCCGCGGACATTAACATTGCTTGCATGCCCGACCAGCCCGCCGAGCTGGAACTGCATCGCCGATTCTTGGAACGCCGGGGCATCCTCTTGCCTGATGAGCTTCCGCAAGGGTTGCTCGTGCTTTGGAGCAAGCTGACGGCAGTGTTGGAAATGCCGAACATGCTGGATAGCATCCATCATGGCACCAGCGTGGAGGTGTGGGCACTGACAAAGGCATTTGACTTTGAAGTGCTTGTCTGGAGTACAGACGTGGATGCCAACTACTGGATTGCAACGATGGAGCGAGTCACTGACGCGAAAGCGCTGCGACTGGCTGAGCTGCATCCGCATGCCTTGCACCTGGTGCACCAACCCATGGGTCACACCGGACACTATAGCTTGCTGTGGGAAGATAGGCCACCCGTTTCGGTGTGGCAACCAACACCATGGTTGCAGATATGGCACAGGGAGGGGGCACAAGCCTTGCAACAGCATTTGGGTATGATCCGCGTGCAACCTTCGCGGGGCGAGCCGGCAGAGCAACCCAACCAGCCGAAGGCGTCGCCTGCCACCGCAGAAGCGGCGGCCGAGCCGAGCAATCCGACGGCATCCGACCAAGACCCGTGGCCCGCACCGGCCACGCCACCTTGCAGCAGCGGGTCAGAAGTGGGCTTTGCTGACACGGAAAGTATCGTGTCGTGGAATTCACACCAATCGAGTGAAGGCTCCAGTGCCGCACCCAGCCTAGCGCTGGAACCAGAGCGTGCATGGTGCACGCTGGAAGATCAATACTTGGAACAAATTCAGACCATCAGCCGGCAGTTTCGTACCAAACCGTTGCTGCCACCATCCGTGCCACACGTTCCGGTGGAGTTAGCCGACAGCATGTCCGGCGTCCCGTATCCAGCCTGCCACTGTGCCTTTGCAGGTTGCACGTGGTGCAGCGACGCACAGCCGTGCGTGGACGCATTGCTCTTGAAAGATCGATGGATTGTGCAAGGAGTCACTTGGCACTGCAGCAGCGGAACCTGCTGCAACGACACCGCTGCCTGTCTGTGGGCGCATTTACACAGCCAGCATGCACTCGCTTTTCAGCACTGCCCAGGAGATCTTGTGAGTTCTTACATCGCAGCCTTGAAATGTGTCGAAGAACAATCGGTCCCGGCCGTTGGATGGAGTGTGGATCGTCGCACTTTGCGACGCTTGCATGCCGAAAGACAAGAAGAGCAAGCCGTTGCTCTCATCTGTGCTTGCTGTGCCGCCGTCCTGCCCAGCGGACCGCGCAGCGACATAGGGTACTTGAGCGTGCAAAATATCTTCGAGGCCCTGACACCCGAGAGCTTCCAACAGAATTGGGATTTGATGCAATATCGCACTTCCTATGGCTCCCATGCAGCCGTCCAAAGGCAACTCCACGGAGCCGAATGGCAGCGGACCTTGCCACAGACATTGTTTCAAGGGCAATCCATCCTGTGCTGCCCGGAAGATCTCCGGTGCAGCGCCTGCCCTGCCGCTGGCATGCAGCTCTGCCGCCAGTGCGAGCTGCCACTGTGCCGAGCCTGTTGGAAACGAATGCGGCAAGGTGCATTTAGTGGCATACCGGCTGCCCTCTGCAACGACAACTTCTACGGTTATCCGGCCGAGCTCCTCTACCAGCATCGGGTGCGATGGATAGAGACAGCGGCTGCTTCGCCACTGTGGACTTCCATGGTGAGCTTTTACCTTGAAGCAGACCGCGGGCACGTCTTAGAGGAGCCGGTGCATCGAGCCGAGCACCGCCTAGCCATCCGCGGCAACATCAGTGCCGTGAGCTTGCCGTGGGAAGAGATCTACGGCCACTTCGCACAGAAGACACCCCACGATCGCATTGCAACCTTGCCGCATGCGCTCCCTGCCTTGCGCGCAATGGTGAAAGTAACGGTGAAGGGCATGCGGCATGCTGAGCTCGTGGAGTGGGTGGCCGGTGCCCATCTTAGGCCTCATGTGGTTGTTGCTCTTTTAGAGCACTTAGTGGATATACGCCATCCCATGCTCGCAGCCTATGACGGCACGCCAGCCGAACTGAAGCAGCTGTTCCGATCCAAAGTGCAGCGAGAGTATGGCACAGAAGAAATTTGTCCAGTGACCGTCGAAGAGCAAGCCGACTTAGCCGGTGCAGCACCCACGCCACCTCAGACAAAGAATGCAACCCCAGAACCAGCAAACCTCCCACAGTTTGGCGGGGAAGCCTTCTTGGGCAACAGCCGACCCCAAGTTCTCAGCCCGGATTACACCAGCAGCCAGGCAGGTGACACGACCACCCAAGAAGTGACGCGCCTCGCGCAAGTCACCCCGAAGGTCACCATCCAGACAGGCACCGAATTCTGGGATCAATGGCAAACCGACTACCTTGCCTGGGCGTTCCCATTCAGTATCCCATCCCCAGTCGGCGGGCCGGACTTTCCCAACAAAGATCGTCCGCGACGCAAAGCCGACGCAGCGGTGCTGGGGCCAGTCCCACACCTACGCTCCTTAGCCCGGCGCGTCGAATCTTCGCTGCGGAACTCGTGGGATTTAATTTCAGGCCTACGTCGGTTGACGTTCAAATGGCATTCGGTCTGCCAAGCGCCGCTCTACCGCGCTTGGCGATCAAAAACAAATGCCTTGCAAGCCACGCCGGCGCATGAATGGGTTGAGGCGGCCAAAGCCTTGTATCACAAACTGCAAAAAGGCAAGTATTTGACACCCGGCAAGACACTAAAGCCAATCAACTACGATGCCCGCAAGCTGTGGTTTGCCGAAGGCCTGACTGCGCCCGAAGCGTAGCTGCTGCGTGACATCCGGCACGCGCAGATGACCTTGCCTGGGACAGTGGAAGTTCGGCGACGGATTGGCCGTTTTCTTTTCGGGGCACGGGTCGAACTCGGAGAACCCATCTTCATGACCTTATCTCCCACAACGCGGCACAATGCCTTGTGCTTGCGACTCTCGCGGTACCGACAGCACGACCCGGGTGCGGGGCCGCTTTCTGGCAAGCACGTGCCACGCGTCTGGGAAAAAGCCGAGGTGATTGTGCCAGTCCCTGAGTACGAGACGCGCCGGCAAACTACCGTTCGAGATCCATGGGCCGTCGACACAGCCTTCCAGTGCATGGTTCGTTTTGTGTTTGCGGAGCTTCTTGGTATCCGCATGTGCTTCCGCTGCCCCAATTGCAGCTGTCGCGATGCTCTCGGACAGTCGACACATCCCATGGGAGGCATTCTTGGCCTGGTGCTCGGATTCTGCGGAGCCATAGAATATCAAAAAAACAGCAACCCCCATTTTCATGCCAATGTATACGTCGCCACGGTGTGGCAACAGCCCCTGAAAAAATTAGCTCAAAAAATACAAGCTACGGCCATTACCCTGGAAGAACTGTTTCGGTACCAAGCCTGGCTGCACAATGAAAGCCACTTCAACCTCGAACAGCATGAAGCCCTCTTTCCAGCGTTGGAAAAAAAGTGGATGCAAAACTTCCCTGGGACGGAGCATGACAGGTTATGCCTTTGGCCAGCTTTTGTTGCCGCAGACACCACGCCTTCGCCGTGGCTGCCCCAGGTTGCCGACGGCGGGCCGCTCCGCGTAGGGCGTTGCTCATCGCCGGCCCATGCCGCCGAATCGCAGAACTCAGCTGCCCCGACTGCCGCAGCGAACCCAAAGGATCTGCAGACTGACGCCATTCGATACCGGCAACTCTACCAGACAGCGGTGCAAGTGAAGCTCTCACACCAGCAGCACCACATGCACACTTGGGATGCCAAACACCAATGCCACGTGCCGCTGCCTGCTTGCCAAAAGAAGGACGCGCCGAACAAATGCAAGCATGGCTTTCCAAAAACCATCTGCGACGTGGCGCGCGTCGTGTGCCGGGGGAATGCTCGCAAATTTCGTCAGAGTACGGCTGGAAGACGAAATGCACTTGGCTGCGTCCTTAATCCACGTGACAACCAATGGCTGTCAGGCACTATGCATGCATTTACCCTGATGTTCATGGGCAACAGCCATACCGGCATCAATTTCCGCATCCCGCTATTGCCGGAGACGCATGACCCGGTATGCGAGCGGAACTGCTTGGAAACTAATACCTCACCGGAAAAAAAGCGACGCAATACTTCACCGGATATTTGCAAAAACCCCAGCCATTGGGTCGGAAGGAGCTGCAACAAGCCGCCAAGCACCTGTCATATCTCGACATTACCCCCGAGAAGGGCGCGGAAGCCAAGCACTACCGAAAAGTGTTGCATCGAGTGTGTGGTGACTTGGAATTTCGCTGTTCCGTCCGCCCCCTGACGGAAGAAGTCATGTTGGCCGGCTTCTGGGACGGCGACGAACCCACGTCTGCCGAGTGCATTCGCTCCTTTGCCGTCATTCCCTTTGTCGGTTGTGAATGGATAGCCCAGTACGACAAAGCCAAAGAGGTGCGGCATCGTGTCAAGCCAACCCATCACCGACAGGCCCACCTGAAAAGCAGCGATCTCTATGGCTGGCGGGGCCAAGATCCGCGGCTACGATATTTGAGCCCTTGGGAATTCACCGCACTCTGGGAAGTGCAACGGCTGCAGCCACCCTCTGACTTAAGTGAATGGTGCCCAGGATGCGGCGCAGGCCCCGAGCCGGCAGACGGGTGGCAATTTGGGCGCGATTACAGGTGGAAGCAACACATCCTGGCCGATAACTCCAAACACATTGTCCCCTTGCCTAGCCGCGCCAGCACCGCCGCAGGAGCAGACTACTACTTCGTCCGGCGGCCCGTGCCCTTAATTCCGTACCCAACTTCATGCCCACTGCCCAAAGCCGACATGAGTAAAGACGAGCAAGCCCGCCTGCTGAACATCTATCTCCGCCCATGGACTTTGGCCGGTGACGACGCCACGTTGCATGTGCCACATATTCAGGCCTTGGACATCCCCATCACCGATCGCCAAAAGAAGCCTTCCCATCGGTGTGTCGGAAAAACTTCGGTGGGGTGCCGCAGTCACCACACGGCATGGAAAGACTACATTCGCCACCACATCGTGTCTGCAAATGCCGCCCGCACCATCTCAAATTTCTTGGCCGCTGCAGAGTGTTCGCCGGACGACGTCGAGGAAGCAACCGTCGACGAAGCCAGGAAGCCGGACAGGGAAGTCGACACAAGCTGGGTTGACATGACGACCGTGCAACGCCTGACTGCCGGAGAAAGGTTCCAATACTCCAAACGGTCGGCCCAGACCGTCCAGAGTCTTGTGCACGACTGGACAACACCGCAGACAAGCACGAGCAACCAAGGGCCGCGGCAGTTCTCGACCGGCCTGCCAGACCCCGGCCCAGCACCAGCAACCGGGGCAGCTGGCACAGATCCCTTCGCCCAACAAACGCAACCGCCACGCCCGGTGGCCACGAACTACGGGACCTTCAGGTTGGACGCGGCCCGGACGTGGTTGCAAGCTTTGAACCGGCCCGGGATGACGCCAGCCCCCAACCCACAACAAAAGCAAGTTCTTACAGCCGTGGTGGAAAGGTGCCACGCCGAAGCGGTCGAGGAAAGGGCCGACAAGCAGAATCGATCAGAACCATTTCGAGCAATCTTGCATGGAGTGCCAGGCGCAGGGAAATCCCAAACCTTGCACTGGCTTCGCACGTTTTTCGAAACGGTCTGCGATTGGCAGCACTTGCACGAGTTTGCCTTCGTAGCCCCACAGAACACGCAAGCGGCCCTGATAGATGGAATCACCATTCGCTCCTTCGCGGATATCCGAGTGCAAGGCAAGAAGCATAAAAAGGAGACGGCTTTTGGACCAGACCACTTCGTCAAGTACCAACATCTACGCTGGCTTATCATTGACGAATGCAGCACATCAGCCTTGGAAGTCCTGGCCGTGTTAGAACTAGACGACGGTTGGCCCGAGAGCGAAAAAGATGTGTTTCAAGCAGCTCTGAGTATGGTAGTCGTAAAAGATAGTCGGTGAATAGTTGGTGAATTTTATTGGTGAATTTTATATGAGCTATGGAAAGACATGATGTAAAAAAGTAAGATTGATCAAGAAGAGAATATTTGGTAAAGGGCATCAGATGACATGTGTCTTGCAACCACAGAGAGAAAGAGGGGGAAGAGATAAAGAGAGAGAGAGAGAGGTCAGACGCATTTCCACACAAAGACCTTTGAGATACAAAAGAAGCTCGGCACCATGATGCCGTGGATGACCTTAGTTGCAAACAAAGGTGGGCAAACATAGTCGCAATGGAAATGCTACAAAATGCAAAAGTACACAAACAAAGGCTCCGTAAGAAACTAGAACTCCGTGCAAGAATGCTGTGAATGATAGCAAGTTCGATATCATGATGGCAAGGATAACACCTGTTTCACTGCATTTCTCCGTCGAGTAATCCGATGCCGTGAACAGAAAATTAGCTACAAACAAGTTGGTATACCGTGATCCCTCAATGAAAGCAACAAACCCGTGCAGTCAGTGGTAAGGGTCCTTCAAGTCCACCGGCATCCGACGCTTGTGTAAGAGCAAATGCTCCCCCTTGCAGTATGGATGTTCAACAGCCGAAGCATGCAGAGCCTCCAAAGGGATCTTCGGCCATCTTCGACTGTATCTTTCAACTCCAAGAATTCGACACAAGCGTTCCTGTTGACCACACGGAATCACATCCACCGCACCGTTCTCCAACTCGGTGCTGCCAGCCGGATCTTGGAATAAGATTAACATCTTCAGCTGCTCCCGCCAAAACCTGCGAGCACACACCACGCATGCAGTTTCAAAGCGACCTCCTTGCTCGGGCTGTCGAAGCCTTTCATCAGCATTCTCCATGAGGCGACGTTGCGAAGCAAAGCTGGTGACCTGATGCATCACTTCATCAAAACATCATCAGCAAATTTCACTACCATGATATCTCGCATCAAACATGTTACACTACCCTACTCCGATCGTGCTAACAGAAATACAAAACGCAAAAAACTCAGTACCACGACGCCGTGAATTAAAACTATTCACCCCGTTTATGATACAAATTCCACACAAATAGCTACAAAAAGCTCAGTACCCCGATCCCACAAAAGGTCAGCGCAGACAAGAAACTGTGGGGCCCAGGTGTGTCAATAGTCCAATGACCTTCTTACGATACTCGATGAGCACACGGCTGGCATCGGCACCTCCACTGTGTTTCTCCACTAAATGTTCCAAAAACTCTTTCTGTCCGCCAGTTCCAAAATTGCACAGTCTGCACTGGTAACGCTCCAGCGGATTCTGAACATCATCATCATCATAAGACCATAACACAAGGCGAGACAGCGCTTCACCAATAGCAGTGATAGCTGGACTGCAGTCCAACATCTGCGCAACTTCACGCAGCTTGATCTCAAACTTCATATTCACATTTTCCAACACAGCAAATGCTTTCTTGGCAACTTGCAAATTCTCTGGCAAGGCCTCCATAGCAATGCCCGCAGCAACATCCATCTCCACATCTGCCTCCTCAGCAACTTCCACACATGAAGAGCCAGTGCTGTCAGGAACAACTGCATTACCATCCCCTTCCACATCCACCTCCGGAACACATTCCACAACAGAAGTGCCAGCGCCGAAAAGGATGGCACTCAATGGCACAAAAGCGGCCTTGCAAAGAGTTCCTTCAGTCCACCCAGGAATCGACTGCATCAAGTTCCGTTCCGTGTCGGATCTCCATTTGATACCATTCTCTGCATCATCCGAAGCTTCCAAACAATCCAACTTCAACTCCTTGATGTTGTCCACATCGCCAGGGAATGCAGCTTTCATGGAACGACAGCGCACCTTCTTCTCCTTCTCCAAATACTCCGACACCCGCTTGAACAGCACACCGTCTTCATCTGAAGTCGGCAACCGCAAGCACTGCTGCACTTCCTGCCATTGTCGTATATCCAGTTCCAATTGAACGACAACCGGAGACACGCCGCTCCTGTACACACGATGTCATAATCAGTATGCAATTCCTCGAGATCTCACGGACAGCCCCTACAGAAACCTCGAGAAGATATCTCTGATGATCTCGAGATATATTGGCTACCATGATCACGCGCATGATGTATAAATAACATACGTTATCTCATTCATCGCGCAAACAAAAAAAAAGCTCGGTACCATTATGCTTTACATGAGCAATTCTGGAGATCTCACGGACAGCCCCTACAGAGACCTCAAGAGATGCAACAAATGTTGAAGATATTTGTTTGTCGATCCTTGGTATTTCACAAACATGATGCCATCTATGACATATGTCATGTCATTTTATTATGGACATTTCCCCATAAATGGGACAAAACAACTCGGTACCATGATGCCGTGTATAACACATGATAATTCATTTTAGCATGCAAATACCCACATAAATTGCCAAAAAAAAACTCGGTACCATGATGTTGTTATTCGCAAAGGTGACAAAGGTAAGAAAAGTACACAAAACACACAACAACGACACGCACTCGTCCTGGAATCACGGAGTTCTCCGACCGTCACTGGATCGTGACGTGAGCGCATACCTTGCAATGCAGGCGTCTGGCGAGGATGAAGTAACTGCGTCAGCAAAAGCCAAGCAAACTGTAAACACTTCTTGTTCCCATAGCGAGCAGATGGAAAACATTCGGACCAATAGCACACCTCCACGTCCTGGTCAAATCTTTCCCAACCATATCTCCGCATCAGATATCGCAGGTACGTCGCGTCTGCAGCATCCAACTTACCTCGACGCCGGCGCACCTCGCCCTCATCATCCACCACCAACGCTTTCGTGCCCCACAGGATGCCAAGGACCACCTGCAAGCAACGCAAAGACCAAACAACCGCGAACCGGCAAGACACGACAAAAAAAAACTAACGCAGGCCATACAATAGTTTCGACAACCACTCACCTCCACCACATTGTCACGATCCTCATAACCACCAGAACTGTCCCATTCACAGGCAGCTGTAAGTGTGTGGACATCCCACAAACGGCTCGCCACTTGCAACATGTCCGCGTCGATGGTGAACCCCACCAAACGACACCATTGAAGTCGTCTTTCTTCCGATACACTCAGCAAAACACAGGACAACAATGCCACGACCTGATGCCGCAGCAAATGCTCCATGCCAATGGAGGCGAAGTAACCTGGTAAATCCAATAAATCAACAGAATCCGTGACAGCTTTGCTGGGCCACGATTGCTGCACTTCATCGAAAGTAGCAAGAAGCGGCAACGTCGCATCCACCACACGAGCATCCAAAGAAGCAAGCGAAAGATGCAATCCCTCCACCTGACCCATGGTCTTGTCGGCCAAAACCGCCAAAATACGCATGCGATCTTTTTGTTCTGGAACAGCATCTCGAAGCAATGTAGTATCAGGCGCCGAAGGACTTTCCAAACATCGTTTCAGCCAGCCCCACAAGACACTTGCACCAGATGCAAGGGTATCATCGTGACACGGCTCCTGCTAAAAAAAAACAAAAAAAAACAGCCGCACTTGACGTTTTTGCAATGCCGACAGTCTACAATTCAATTCTCGAAATCTCACAAACTTGCACCCAACCTCCATGGAAGTCGCCAAGACTTTCTTCAACGAATTGCGCAGCTCTGCTACAGGCAGCCAAGCGTTGCCCGATCGTGTCTCCACACCAGCCGCAGTAGCCAGGACTCGAAGCTCGTCTCTTCCTATTCCGTACAAAGCACGACTGAGCCACTCCTCACCCTCTGAAACAGCTCCAAGGTGAAGTTCTTCCAATTTGGCAGCCGATGCTTCTTCCACCTACAGCATGGAACACACCGCCACCACAAAACAACCATCACCCTACAAATTTTTCCCGCTGCTCATGCATATCAATGAAAACATAACACATAGATCCACTACATCACAAACGAACATGGGCATGATCACTATGCAATTCTCAAGATCTCACGGACAGCCCCTACAGAGACCTAAAGAGATGCAACAAATGTTGAAGATATTTGTTTGTCGATCCCTGGTATTGCACAAACATGATGCCATGTCTCACAAACATGCGAATTCGGTCACAAAAACAACTCATGTTACAACACATTTTTTGGTTGAACCCAACCTCCGTGGAGGGTTCCAAGACTTTCATCAACGAGTTGCGCAGCTCTGCTACAGGCAGCCAATTCCGGTTGGAATGTGTCTGCACACCACCCGCAGTAGCCAGGACTCGAATCTCCTCTTTTCGCATTTCGTACAAGGCACGACTGAGCCACTCCTTGCCCTGTGAAACAACGCCAAGGCGAAGTTCTTCCAATTTGGCAGCCGATGCCTCTTCCACCTGCGGCATCCGACACACTGCCACCACAAAACCACCATCATCCTACAACATCGCACCATGTGACAAACATTCAAATTCGGTCACAAAAACAACTCATGTCACAACACATTTTTTGGTTGAACCCAACCTCCGTGGAGGGTTCCAAGACTTTCATCAACGAGTTGCGCAGTTCTGCTACAGGCAGCCACGCCTTGCCGGATCGTGTCTCCACACCACCCGCAGCAGCCAGAACTCGAAGCTGACGAGCTGACATTTCCGACAAAGAACGACTGAGCCACTCCTTGCCCTGTGAAACAGCTCCAAGGCGAAGTTCTTCCAATTCGGCAGCCGATGCCTCTTCCACCTACGGCATCCGACACACTGCCACCACAAAACCACCATCATCCTACAACATCGCACCATGTGACAAACATTCAAATTCGGTCACAAAAACAACTCATGTCACAACACATTTTTTGGTTGATCCGACACACTGCCACCACAAAACCACCATCATCCTACAACATCGCACCATGTGACAAACATTCAAATTCGGTCACAAAAATAACTCATGTCACAATTTTTTGGTTGAACCCAACCTCCGTGGA